GGGGGGGGGGCACCGCCGGGACATCTCCCTCCTTTCTTCCCTCTCTCCTTCCCTCCCTCCGGGAGCAGGTGCGGCCGTGCCGAGGCCGCTGGCGGGGCCGGTGCGGGGCCAGGCCGGTCCCTGCCCCCGGCAGGCTCCACCCTGGGCGGTGCGGGATAAAACTTGGGGCACCTCCCCGGCGGTTCCGCGTCAGGCTGCGCTCCGACCGCTCGGCACGGGGCAGCGCTTCGGGGGCACCGCTCCGCCCGCGCCCTCCCGGAACTTTTAGGGCTTTTTTTTTTTTTTTTCTTTTTTTCCGCCGTTCATTCCCCCGGTGCCACCGGAGGCAGCCGAGCTCTGATCGCAACGGGATCCGCGGGGCAGCGCTCCGGGCTCGGTGAGTGCCGGACGGGGAGCGGGGCGGTTTCGCGGAGGGGTTTGAACGCGGATGCGTGGCTTTGATTTATGGAGGGGTTGGGGGTCCCGTGAGCTGCGGTTCCCGGGGAGGATCGCGTTGCAGCGCCGCTCCGAGCTGCGGGGCCGTTAGCGGGGCTTTGCCCTCATTGCCGAGAGGGGCCGCGCCGCTCCGTGTCCCCCCCCAACCCCGTCCCCATTCTCCAGCCTCATCGAACCGCGGGGTGGAGCGGCGTTGCGGGGCTCCGGGCGCTGTGCCCCCCCCCCCCGGGAGCGGCGGGGCCGGCAGAGGGCGCGCGCGCTGTGCTGACTCATGGCCCCCCCCGGTGCCGCCGTGGCCGCTCCCCCCGGGCCGGGGCGCTGCGGGCGGGAGGAGCCCATCCCAGCGGCGGTACCGGGCGGTGCGGGGAGGGGCACCGGGTGCGGCGGCTGTGCCGTTCACCCTCCACCCTTTCCGCCCCGCGTCACTCGGCCTCGCTGCTCCGGGTGGGGGCTCCTAGCGTGGGGTTGGGGGGGGGCTTCTCCCGGTGCTCCGCGTTCCCGATTCGGGGCCGTTCGCCCCATCGGCGGCGCCGCTCGGTGCCGCCCCCCCCCCCCCTCCGTGCGGGGCCCTTTGTTGTGCGGCCGCGGATTATGAATGGCCGCGCGGAGCGGCGCGAGGGCGCGCGGGGGGCGGAGGGGGCGTGGCCTAACGCCGCGTGGGCGGAGGAATCCGGACGGCCCCGCCTACACTTTGCCACGTGGTGAAACGAATCGAGCGTCCTATTGGTTCGATCCGCGGATGTCGGAGTGCCGCGAGGCAGCGGATTGGTCGGGACGGCCGGAGGAGACGGAGTGAATGAGGGCGAGGCTCCGCCCCCTGGACGTTGCTACATTGGAGCCGCCCCCGCCCCCCCCGCCCCCCGGCGCTCGCAGGGCTGCGCGGCGCTGCCGGTTCGGCGGGTCCGGCCCCGGGCGCTGCACCGCGATCCTCCCGCAGCGCTGCGCTCCGAACCCCCCTCGACCCGAAACGAACCTCGCCGGGATTTCTTCTTATCATTTTGGGATTGATACCGATTTTTTTTTTAATTATTCTCCGCTGGGAACGCGGCCCCCGGAGGGTCCCCCCCCCCCGCACGCACACACCCGCACCGCTCGGTTCGGTGCTCCCCGCGTCCGCCGCTCTTTTGTCCCGCACCGACCGACCGATCGCTTTTTTTCCCCCCCCCCCCCCCTCCCCTCTCCCTTCCCTCCCCTCCCTCAGGCCGCATGGAGCCGCAGCCCGGCGCTCGGAGCTGCAGCCGCGGGGCCGCCCCCTGCGATCCTCTCCCCGCGGAGCGCCCCGTCCACCTCTGCATCCACACCACCACCGGGGCGCGGTACGAAGTGGCCGTTCCTCCGGACGAAACGGTGGAGGGGCTGAAACGGCGGCTGTCGCAGCGCCTTAAGGTGCCCAAGGAGCGCCTGGCGCTGCTGCACAAAGACAGGTACGGAGCGGCACCCCCCCCCCCCCCCTCCTTTCTCTCCCTCCCCTTCCCCTGCGCGGCCCCAATTCCTCCGAGGGGTGGGGGGGGAGGGAAGGGGGGAGGGCGGGGGTTGGGCTCCGGGAGGCCCCGCGCTGCCCCCGCCGCGGTCGCTCTGTGGGCGGTGGGGCCCGGCCGTGCCCGCGGGGCTCCGTGCGGCGCCGGGCGCTGCCCTTTGTTCTGCGCTCAACTTCGGCGGCGCGGCCTCAGCACCGCCCCCCCCCCCCCCCCCCCCCCCCCCCCCCCCCCCCCCCCCCCCCCCCCCCCCCCCCCCCC